CGGCTGCTTATTCTTGCTTATTAAGAATACGTTGCCTAGCAGCGGATGATGTTTCGTTGTTTGTTCCACAGTCATTACCTAGGAACGGGTCTACACGCTACATTTTGTAGCGCCGAATGGTGAAAAGGCAGAGTGGCCTTTCTGCCCAGTCAATTAAGCATTATTCCATGAAGGCGTATAGGGAAGTGAAGGTACACCTCCACCATTCTTGATCTCAGTATTATTAAGACAATACAAATTGCAAAGAATTTAGAAGGAAGAGCTCGTGTAACATTTCAAGGGGGTATCCCGAAATTCACAGGAAGAAAATGAAGAAAACCACGCAAACCCGATATCAGGTTACTTGGTTTTTCGGTTGATATTTGAGTTTCTTTTAGTTTTTTTTTTTTTTGAGTCAGACTGAGTGCACTTGGTACGTCGACCACTCTTGAATCTATTTTATCAGGCCCGGATGACAGATGATGAGTGTGGAGCAGTCAGTGGAATGAGAATTGGCAAGGGAAACCGAAGTACTAGGACAAAATCTACCCCAGTGCCACTTTGTCCACCACATATCCCACATGATCTGACCTGGGCTCGAGCCCGGCCGCTGAAGTGGGAAGCGGGCAACTAACCACTTGAGTTATGACCTGGCCACATGCTTGAGTTAATCTGTCGTCTCTGTTGTATTAAAATTGCTTCTTAAATTTCTATGTTAGGTCTACACAACGTCCAGGAAAGAAATACATAGAAGAAATTGGTTCCAGAATCCGGAATGGAAAACCACTTCAAAACAAAGGTTAAGATGGGAGAATAATATTACAACAAATCTTAAATAAGATGCGAGGATATTAGCCGGAATTATGAAGGCCAAAACAGAGACCAGTGGAGGGCTCCTGTGAACACGCTGACAGACTTTTGAGTTTCACAAAAGATGGGGATTTATTGACCATCTGAGCGACTATTCTGCTCCATGGAGTTACTTATTCATGAATTAATGAATACTTTATGAGGTCCATTACGGTTTACACTTCAGGCTGCCCGTTTTTTGTGAGTCCTTGGGCCTTCTCATCAGGAGCCAAATATTCGTATAGTAGAGGACTCGTCTGTTATACATAAACATTTTAATTATACACATCCCATTACTACTCCTAATAATTACTATTCATATAAATTTATTCGTGCTTCACTCTCGTGCTTTCTTGCTATCCTGTCCAATTTAACTTTATATTAAACATATATACACCTACTCTAGGCTTACTTTCTTTATATAAAAAAATAGGAGTTCTGGGAAGAACTAATCACTTACTTTCCTCGATACGACACGGACCGTATAGAAACGAAGCGTCAAACAATTATTCTATCATTGTGTTTGAATTCGTTGCAGCGGTAACGTTCTTACCTAGCCGTTGCCTAGCAACGACAGAGGAATATACAAATAAATACACAGACTGATTGATGGCAGGTGTTTATGCAGTATGCCGTTGAGAAGGATTCAGTTGCCATGATATACGTACAGAGTATTATAAAGACTGATTCAGACATTTTAAGATTTGATTGTGGAAGGGAGTACAGACATAAATACTAATTTTTTTTCGAAATAAGGAAGGGGAGCTAATAAAAGGGGGTTTTCGATATCACCTGACTCTCTCTCTTTCTCCTCCTATCTGTGTATTCCCCCTCATTTGTTAGGAGGCTTATGAGATCACCTTGCTGTCTGTGTGTCTGTGTATTCCTAATTTTTTCGTTGTCTATGCGGTCCATATCGTATCTGAGGATATAGGGCGATTAGTTCTTTCCAGAACTTTTTTTTTATTTCTCTGTGTTCTTAGAACTTCTTATTTTCTTCTTCCTCCAGTTTGGAGCATAAGGCATCTGTAAAATGCTTCGTTTCACTGCAGTTTCTTAATCTGTGACAGTCGGTAGGACTCCTTGGACAGGGTATCAGCCCCAGTATCCATACCTTGAGTGGGGTTCGAACCCACGATCCCAAAGTTCGAGAGAGAAGACATTTCATGCCTTACACCGCGCGATCACTGCGATCGTCCTTTTTAAAACCTACTGCCCTCTAAACATCTATTTATACAGTGATATTCCTAAAAGTCTTTTCCAAAATCTTGTTCATCCAAATTTTCTTTTCTTCACATCTCAATAATTTGCCTTTTTCGATCTGTATGTTACACATGGAACGAATTCCCTGATCATTCATCCCTCTAACACCCCCTCATTAACCATATTTTTTTCTTCTAAATATAGGTTTGTGTGTTTATATATCTGCATATAGTAACTAAAAGCGACAGAGGGAAGCTTATATAGTTATAAAGGAAGTTACATATTGAATTGTTACGTAGAAGTTACTGAACTTTATTTCTGTGTTGTAAATTAATAACTCTTTTTTTTTCCTGGCCAGAATTTTTGTTACCTCATGATATGACAATTCTCAGTGCAAGCAGCTGGGATCTATCTACTTGTGTGTTTAATAAAAGCCTTTGAAAATTCGCAGCGGGTGATCGCGTATGATTTGATATGAAATACACGGCTCAGGGACATTTGTCAGGAATACGGAATATAGATTGGATTTGTTTTAGTGTGACATTGTTAACAACGAGATATAGAGCGCTCTCTGGTTTTCTCCTTTTTTGTAGCTGCGGTACAGAATCAGTTGAGTTGATTTGCTTTTGTTTTGCTGTGACATGTTTAATTTTCAACGTACTCCATTGCAGTACAGATATCTAGCGAGTTCTCGCTTCGGAATTCGATATATCGCACTGATCTTACATTCGAAGGAGGTCGTGCCATAGCTCAGGAAGATAGCAATTTATCATTCTACCTTTCCACACTAACAGCATCGTAAAAGAGCACACAGAAATCTCCAACTTTTATAGAACTCAATAGAATCCATAGGTTCGTTGCCGTATTCACAAAATCCATCCACTTTTTCCCAATTTTTTAAGCCCGATTTTAGTATGATTTTCTGATGCCTTCTAAATCCCCACTACAATAGTCTATCAATTTAATGTTTCTCATGCTTGCTAAACGACCCTGTCACAACGTGACGGATACTGAGCTATTGCATAGCAACAGACGTGTTTCCAGAGCCGTTTCCCCTCAAAGTCTGTCTCTGCTGGCTTCACAGTTTTGGCTTTCAGCAAATAAACCACAATATTATGTCTTCTTTAAAAAAAACGAAGTTCGCTGGATCCTAATGAAAATCAAATCAACAAAACTAATTTGATTTGTATTTATTTCCATTTTATATATTTGTTTGTAATCTACATTGTATACAAGTATAAATTAATATCAAACATTACTATTCCACAATTCACCACATTACATAATAGCATTATATTTGCATATTATTTCTGATATTCTGTAACTCTACTATCAATATGTGCTCTCCTATTTCCTGTACATGAATTCCAACTATTCCACGAACATACTGTATTATTTACGTATTAATGGATTTTAAAATACATTGCCAGCCGCAGTATTATGCCAATAGATGCCTCTACGTTCATTCTTTACATGTCAGTGTATTATAAAACGTCAGCTATGTCAGTGAGTGATAGTAATGATTGTTTTGTTTACTATATACATATATCTATGCACGTAACAACACTAGAGCACTTAACGAGGATGGAGAGTGATTACTTGCTTATATTCCCGGAAATTACAGGATTATATCCATCCCTCGCCATTACCATTCAGCATTTAATGGTTCTGAAGTGTTAGGATTTGTGGATTTTTAACCATTTACACGCAATACGTGAATTTTCTCACTAAAACAGCTGTATAGTCTGGTACAAAGATTCAAACTTTTGACAATAACATGTCGCACCCTTGTTTAGAGCAGTACGTTTTCATGAAATGTTGGTTCCTGCCTATCTGATGATTTGTTGTCGTTACCAGGCGACCACAAATACGAAGTCATCCATGTAACAGACAGTGGAGGTCCATAGCGCTGTGAGACGTCGAGATTCCCACATTTTCTAGACAATCAACTCACAGTTTGTGGTGAGTTGTCAGTCATACGTCCCGGTCTGCCGTCCTTTACACACAGGAAGATTCCTGGTACTCATTTCTGGTAGATTCTGCGTCGACTTCAAGGCCACAGTGTGGCTGGAAGGATTAGGACAATTGAAAAATCCAATGACCTCATCTGGAATCGAAACCGCGACCTTCCGGTTTGTAGCACAGTGCCGCAACCAACTCCGCACTGCCCCACAAATACCTCTTAGAGAAATGTTACATGATACTGTACAGTACGGTGTCTGAAATGCGATTGGTTTTGAGACTATGAACTTTTATCTGAAATAAACGAACATCATGTCTCATGAAGTAGCTAAACAAAAAAGCAAATAATATATGAAGAATATATTTGTATTTATCTTGTATTTAGACCTTGTCGTTTTAACAGAATGTGGAGTGTGCCTGATCGAGTCAACTAAACGAGATAATGATTGTTGAGTGCGTACAACAAGGCCATAGTTATGTAAGATTTGAGGCTTTCACGGCGGTGACTATGAAGAACGCAGTCTTCTGGGATTTGGCGCCGTGTATATGTGGTGTTAACCGACGTTTCGGATGAACGTATCGCCTCCATCTTCAGGGTAGAAGAAAAAATATAAGAAATATGCAAGCGAAGAGACCGTGAGAACCGGTAAAAGCAGACTGTAGTCTGTAGTATATTTTTTCTTCTACCCTGAAGATGGAGGCGATACGTTCATCCGAAACGTCGGTTAACACCACATATACACGGTGCCAAATCCCAGAAGACTGCCTTCTTCAAGGCCATAGTTACATTTCGTCACCTTCGTTCCCTTCTACAAAATATTGGCAACCCCTGTCCCTCTATTACCTGCCACATGACAGGTATAAAACTCGGGCATTATATATCTCCTGTTTCATCCAAAATGTTGGATTCAATTTGTCATGTTAGGCTAAAATATACTGTAATTTGTTTGAAATCTGTGCTAAGTACTGAATGAGCGCTTTAATTACAGAACCGAATTATTTTGCAGGCAAACCCTGGGCAACGGAACTCTGTATTTCCCACCGTTTCGCGCCGAGGACTATCGTGCAGACGTCCATTCGACGGTATACCGTTGCAAGGCGTCAAATCTAGGCGGCGCCATCCTCAGTAGAGACGTCAAGGTCAGAGCGGGTAAGTGCCACAAACATTTCTACAGTTTGTCGGTCTGTTGAATAAAGTAGTAGTACGAATGGATATTCAGTCTCTTTAAAGTATATTATTTTAATCCTTTAAAGATTTAATCTCTTCTACATAAAATACAAAAAATCAGTTTGTACCTCACAAGAAACACGTTATATCTGTGCTACAAAGCCCAACCGGTTAATGCTCTTTAGGGAAACAGTCGTTGTTTATTGTGAAAACCATACGGAACACACAAATACACTCCGTGGGTAGAAAGCAGATTTTTAGTATGTTACTGCGGGCGGTACAGAATCACTGAGATTTAGAGTGTACGAGAATGTAAACAAACGATATTTTATGAGCACGGAATGAACTAAATTATTCGTATTTTACCAGTAATTTGAATTTTTAGCATTTTCGAAAGCGTAACTATTTGTATAAGTACAAATTCTAAGAACTAAATTCAGATACTTCAGTCGTGTGAATACTTTGGTAGAAATGTGAGCGGACATAATATTTTTAAAATTTTGTAAGAAAATAATTTTATATCTTTTATCAAAATGTAATTGTTGGCAGAGGCAATGCTAGAAGACTTTCCTAGCTTTTCTTGATATCGGATCCACAGATATTGTTAACTTAATAAAATATTTAAATCTTTCTTTGCTGAGCTGAATTTAGAAGAACAATTCTTTCTTTCATTATACGTGGTCTGTTAAAAACAGTTCCGGAACTTTTGAAATAGCGCGCCAACTCGATGTCTTGGTAATGTCGGGTAAGTTGTGCTACCTAGTGGCATACTTTTGGCCGCGCCATAGCTCAAGCTGTTAGTCGCTGGCTTCCCACCGAGGCGGCCCGGGTTCGATCCCGGGTCTGGTCGAGTGGGATTTGCGGTGGACAAAGTGGCGCTGGGGCAGGTATTCTCCGAGTACTTCGGTTTCCCCTGCCAATCTTCGTTCCACCAATTCTCCACAATCACCCTCACCTATCATCTGGGACTGGTACAATAGGCCAGAAGTGGCCGCAGTACAAGGGACTTAGTCCCACCCCACTAGCAATAAAAAATAGTGGCATGCTTCCTAATTATCATCCTTTTTGCGGCATCATCCTGCTGTGATTAGTCATCGTCTTAGAGCTATTTGTTCACTTGCGTGTAATGGGTGCCTTGCGATATATAAATTCGAGATCGCTGCTGATCGCGGCGTAATAACAGTAAATTTTGCTTTAAGCTAGGGAAAACGTTAACGGAGACTGGTGAAATGTTGAAAAACGTTTATGGTGATCAGTGCATGAGCCGTACACGTTGTTATGAATGGTTTAAGCGATTTAAGGGCGGTCGGCAGTCAACACATGATGAGCTGCGTTTGGGATGCCCCTCAACGTCATGTGACGACGCTCAAGTTGCGCAAGTTCGTGATATTGTGCGTTCCGATCGTCGTTTTACAGTGCAGGAAATATCAAAAGAGTGCAACATATTGATCGGTTCCTTGTGCAACGGTGAACTGTAAACTGAGTAAATCAGCGATAGCGCTGTATTGATTGTAATTAAGAGAGATTGTATAAGAATTTGATGAACCTAATCACCAATCCAAACCCCGTCTACAAGTCACTAATATACACATGTGACAATATTTTAGACGCAGAATATTTAGGAGTATATACTTATATATTTTTTATCTAAAGTCAGCTCTACTGTGATTCAAAGACGTAATTTTATACAGCTTTTAATTTTTTTTCTAGCTGGTGTATCCATAACTTAGAAACATCTATATATGACCTATTACATTTAACGAATACTTACACCAGCTTACTAATTTTATCCTACATTGCACCAAGCATAGTTCGGAGGATAATATTAATATGGATCTTAGATGTATATGATTTAGTATGAAATGGATTAATCTGGCTCGTGATAGGTACAAGTGGCGAGCTCTTGCGAAGACACTAATGTAGCTTCGGGCTCCATAGAATGTTGGAAATTTCTCGAGTAGCTAAGAGACCGATCGAGACCCAAGAGGAACAACAGTTCTGTGGAGTCAGTTCTTACATGAAGCAAGTTCGCTAAAGCGATGAACGTTTCTGCTTTGTTTTCGGGAGGCTCCCGTTTCCAGTCTCGATGAGTCATCAATTAAATGCAGGAAAGTTATCTCAAATTAGGACCGAGCCGTTTTCTTCAACACCCTTTCCAATTCATTACCCGCTGGTCACCCTGATCATATCGGGATGGTCAAAGTATGGAAACACCCAACAAAAGACACATTACCCTGACTAATATGGTGTAGGACAACCTCTGGCTTGCAGTCTCCTTGGAATGGATAAATAGAGGTCCTGTATGATTTGCAAGGGAATCTTGTACCATTCTTCCTGCAAAACATTGGCAAGTTCTGTTAACGATGATGGAGGTGGATAGCGCGCACGCAGATTGCTCTCCAAAACAGACCACAAAGGCTCAATAATATTGATATCTGGCGATTGTGGGGGCCATGGGAGACGTGACACTTCATCTTCGTGCTCAGAAAACCAGTCCTGGACGATGTGAGCTATGTGAACACAGGCATTGTTGGCTTGGTAAATGGCATCACCATTAGGGAACAAAGTTTGCACCATGGGATGGACCTGGTCGCCCAAAATGGTCACATAGTCGTTGGCAGTGAGGTGACCTTGCAGGGTAATGATGGGTCCGACAGAATACCACGATATGGCTGCCCATACCATGATCGAACCCCCGCCATGTTTCACTCTTGGCAGCAAACAATCTGGATCGTAAGCTTGGGATGGCGTTCTCCAGGCGTAAACTCGGCCAGAAGTCGGAAACAGTGTGAAGGTGGACTCATCCGACCAAATGACCGTCTTCCATTGCTCCATAGTCCAGGATTTATGACTTCGGCACCACACTCTCCTCTTAGTGGCATTTTGATCACTGATGAGTGGCTTTGGAATTGCAGCTCGTCCAGAAATACCCTGCTTTGGGAGTTCCCTTCGTACTGTTTTGGTGCTGACAGGGTTTGTGAGTGTGACATTCAGTTGAACAGCCACTTTTGCAGCTGTAGTCTTCTTATTTTTCGTCACAATCCTACGCAATGTTCGTCTGTCTCGATCACTCAACACACATTTCCGTCCACGCTGGTATTTATCGGATGCGGTTTTTCCAGTCCTCCTGTATGCGGTCATAATCTTGGATACTGTGCCTCGGGAAACACCAAAATCTTCGGCTACCTTGCTTACGGAAGCACCCACAATACAGGCCCCAACAATTTGCCCGTGTTCGAATTCTGTTAGCTCTGACATGATGCACTAAAACTGCACAGAACACTGTCTCGACAACAAATGAAGCTTGCAACATATTGCGGAGGTTGTACAGGTAGTGGTATTGGGCAGATACGGCAGCATCACCTACAAACGTCACTAAAATAAACACTTCAATTCAGGCAAGAATTTCACGAGCTGTTTCCATATTTTTGTCCATCCCCTATATTGTCTGAGCTACTTATAGCTTCATTAGATACGTTACACACGGACGAAAGTCTATATGTAAGAAACTAAAACAGTCATTAGAAGAACACAATCCCTCCTAGTGCTTCAGAATTAATTTATATGTATGAGGATTATGGAGGGGTGGTAGGCTAATATAAGTGTGCCGGTGGTGATGGTGGGGGGGGGGGCATGAGTGTCTGTCCGGTACCGAAATAATTGAGAATCGCTGGTGCGGAAGAAGAGATGAACACAGATACCGGCTTCTGCTCCGGTTGGTGGGGCGAGAGGGGGGTGCAGCCGGCACGATGGTCATCAAAGTTTCACGGTGTTGTCATGACAACTGTGACCCGAATGCCTTGTTCCCTGGAGACGCACTGTGCCTCTGAACAGGAGAAATTGAGGTAAAAATAAAGAGCAGTAAACAGAGATATATGCAAAAACAGACCGTTAAAATGAAATGTATCTCGTAGCGTTAGTATTGTACATATGCGCATTGCGAGCTAACACATCTCACATTACACCTTGAATTAAACGATGATATATCGAGTGTAAATATCCATTTATTAGGCTAGTTGCTAGGTAATCATGGGTTCTTTATATAGAGAAAGGAGTCCTAATTAAAATGTTCTGTATGTCTACTTGTGAACTAGCATTGACTCCTAAACCGCTGGACAGATTTTCTGAAAACTACACGCGATAGACATTCACTAAAATTTGTTGGACAATTGCAATTTTGCGACGTTTTATTAGGTAGAAATTTCTATGAAGAAAGCAGTCTTCTGGGATTTGGCACCGTGTATATGTGGTGTTAACCGACTGCTTTCTTCATAGTCACCGCCGTGAAAGCCTCAAATCTTACAGGTAGAAAATTCTAGTTTACACGAAGCCGTGTTTTGACTTTTCCCACACATGACTTGGAACTTTTCACATATATTCTCGAAGCTCGAAATGGGATAATTTTACCGAAAAAGTTGGTTATTAGAGATTTCCATCCGTGTTAAATCAGAAGAAATCCTAGTTTGCATGAATCCATGTGTCCCATAAGAAGATATTTCACAGATTTTTTTGAAAGACTATACGGAAAACTTCAACTAAAATTTGTCGAATGTTTTCCTATTTTCAGACACATCACTTTATAATAAAACATAGTTTGCTTATGACTCTGAACTGACTTTCCATATAACTAATAAACCCTTCTACAGGCTTTATTACAATTTATATGTGACGCTTATTTTAATTTTATTTATTCACAATTTTGAGTAAGTTTAATAAACCTCAAAGATTGTAGTCCGTAATTTTGTGTACTACATTATGGAATATACACATTAAGAAAAGTTTAAGATAAATTTAATCAATTTTGACTTTCGGGAATATTTCCGGTAACCGTCCTCCAAATTTCCTAGGCACTTTCGTTCCCAAGAATGGATACTTAACCCAAAATATCATAACTCGAAATTTTTATTACCCATTTGGTTTAACAACCTTTACTTCTCAGTAAAATACACATTGCCGGTCACTGTAGCCAAGCGCTATGAGGT